CTAGCTTGAAGAATGATAATCGGAAATTATGTCGCATTAGCTGAGTCCGACACATCAGCACCCGGATTTTGCGGACCAATCGGTCCTGAACACCTTCGTTTATCATGTCCTGGAACTTTGCATATTGAACATCGTCTTGGGCCTCGTGGCGGTCTTCCACTTTGATCCATTTCATTCTGAATTCTCTTTTTCCTCGGGCGACCCGGTTCACGCCTTTGTCCGAATGGCGGGACGATCAATTTCCCTTCATAAAGCGGCCAATAAGCTTCATCAGGCAATGCACGGAAACTCCGTCCATAGGTGTTTTTGAGTGAGTCGATATTGAAGAATGGACTAACGAAGTGACGGGGGTCTTTGCTCCTGTTTTTAATTACGGCCATTGCATGAGAACAAGGCCACCCTCTCCCCTGATACTTCTGGCATGAGCGTTCACCAACTTTGGTCCTGAAATTGACCAAAACTTCATGACGGTTGCCCCCCCGTCTACCATCCTCCCGATGTCCGGTCGTCACGCTATACTCACCAGTTGCCCGATTCTTAACGGTTACACTATGTCGACTGCTCTTGCGATTGTCATTATCCATTATTTCAGTGACTTTATAGGCATGGACCTTTCCCTGTGCCTTGTTCGTCCTTGCCCAGTGGAGTCGGTTCACGAACCATGCATTCGTTTTCCAAAAAGTCATCTCCACAATGGCAGAGATCGGCAGTGCACGAACGGCCTTGTAGACAGAGTTGATAATCTCACTTGAGTTGGTTGTGGCAATACCCCATCTTTTCCCTCCATCTTTATGAAATGTCCACATGGATAGATCGTGTCCATCCAGCCACTGTGCCCCTTCAGGGCATAACTCGCGCATCTTCTGCAACTTCTCCTGAAATTTTTTCTCCTGGTATGCAACCGCTGAATAACACACAGAAAAGTAGTACGTTAGTCAATGATCGTCAGTTTAGTACAATTTCAAACAACACGGTCATACTCTCATTAGACTCTTAGGAGAGGTATACATCTCCTTAGAAACACAGCCTGTTTGACAGAAAAAGGGGGGATCCGAAGATCGCTTAAAACCCGATTTTCCCAGGAAATGGGAGGACCATGATAATCGCTTAAAACCCCATTTCCTTAGGCATGCATCTCTTTAGAAAGAGTCTAACAAGTGCACCACTCCCCATATTACAAGATATTGTTAATTGAGAGCAATAGAGAGGTTACCAATCCACCACAAATTATCAGCTAGCTTCTTCCGCTTGAAATGATGGTTCCAGTTGCTCTTGAAGTGTCGTATGCACCACCTTTGGGACCAATTCCAGGTTGGATCCAGGCCTAAGATGGCAGCTCTAATGCCGGCGTGCCGATCAGAGATTATTGTCAGGTTCGTCCTCCTAGTGACGTGGAGCTGAAGTTGTCAAAAAAACCATCCATAGCTATCAGCATTCTCTCCCTCTACAATGGCGAAGGCTAAAGGAAAGACTTGTCTATTTGCATCCGCCCCACTGGCAATCAGGAGAGTGCCCTTGTACTTGCCGGTAAGGAATGTACCATCCACAGTAATCACAGGGATACAAAAGGCAAAACCATCAATAGATGGCTTGAATGCCCAAAACAGTCGGCGGAAATGGCGTTCGTTACCTGGCTCTGGGGGTTGTATCTCTTCATCTTGGTATCGAGGGGAGAACACAGTGCCAGGGTTAGACGCCTCCAATGCCAGTATTAATCTGGGAAGGAATGCATATGATTCTTCCCAATCACCAAAGACGGCGGCCAGAGCTTTCTGCTTTCCATGCCGCGCCTTCTTATAGTTAATCATATAACCATAACGACTTGCAATGTCAGCGATTATGACTTTCACCTTCAGATCCGGTTCAGCCTCAATCAGATGCCTGATAGCCGCAGCAACCACCCTGGATTTCAACTGTCGATGGCCTTGGGAAGTTATGGATGACACACATGTGTGTGTGTGTTCACCGCATGGGATATGACCCAGTGGCCGTGTCTCTTGCTGTTGATGGCCCGAATCCTAACATTGCACCCCTCGTGATGATTACGGCATCTGACTATGAGCCTTTTGGTGTTGGAATGAGTTGTGTGCCATTCAAAATGGCGAGTCATTGCTTCAGTCTCAATGGCGTGCCGCACCTTCTTCTTCGAGCCAAATTGTTGGCCCTTCATAAACCCAGTGAGTGGGCCCCATATTGGGACCTCTGGGGGCTCCATGTCGCTGTCGACCATCCAATTGTCGTCTGGAATGTGATTGTAGTAGGGGACTGGTACACGGTCAGGAGCCACATCATGATCATTATCTGAATCTGACTCTGGTCCTGAATCATCAGCACCTTCAAGAGGGTCAGAGCTGTTTGCACTGACGTTGTTCTCTCCTTCTTCATCGGAGGGGTTGCTGACTGGTGCTGCCATGGGAGCTTCCATCTGATCCAGCTCATGAAAGGCACCTTCATCAGCTCCATAATGGTAGTTGTGAAAACTACCGATGCCTGATTGGAAGTTGTACTGGGGTTGGTTGCCGAGGTCCGGTTGAACTTCTTCTTCATATGACGGGAAAGATTGATGATGGCCTTCACCTTGCCCTCCATCTTGGTACTGAAAATAGGAATGAGGATCATGGTAACTTTGATCGCCATATAATTCACCTCCACCATGGATACCAGATGTTTGACCGTGTCCAGAATGACCTCCAACACCAACGGCTAGCTCGGTGTAAACGAACATCTCGGCTTTGGCCAATTTGTTGGACCTCAAGAAGTCGAGCATGGAATCTACTTCATCTTGAGTGGTTATGGTATATTCCTCATGCCACAATGACTCACTTTCTCTGTTTGGATATCGGTACACCATTCGATCTACTCTTCTCGTGCTATCCATGCAAGTAACGTTAGTGCATATTTGATGGAGGTCTTCAAGCTTCAGTCTGGTACCGACCGTTATTTTCTGAAAATTGCCACCGACGTAGGTGGCCCCCTTTCCGGTCTCTTCTATGTAACCATTCCACCGTAAGCCAAGCGTGAACTGACGGAATGCCATCTGCACACAAAAAAACCGTAGTTCAGTTAATATCATAAAATTCACAAATCACAAATAACAATAAAAAGTAACACAAAATAAACTTACGAGTTAATGTTAATGGCAAAAACACTAAAGAAATATAGGAATACAACAGAAAAATGAAAAGAGAGAAGGAGAGGTGTGAAGAGTAGAGGTTTTCCGGCAGTCTTAAATAGGGAAAAAAATGAGGAAAACCGCACCTCTAAGGTGCGGTTTTAGTCTGCCATGCAGCCCTACGTCCATAATTCTCTACATGGGTTTGTCGGGTGTCGGAATATTATTGACACACAGACCGCACTTGGGGGGGTGCGGTCTGTGTAGCTAAACCGCACCTTAGAGATGCGGTTTGGTTTTGGAGGAACAAACCGCATCTCTAGGATGCGGTTTGGCTAGGTCATGCCAAAACCGCACCTCGGCCGTGCGGTTTGTGTAGGGCAGAGTTTAAACCGCATGGCCAAGATGCGATTTCGGCCCAGGAATATGGACCGCACCCTACAGGTGCGGTTTATATATAAAACGCACCTGGAGGATGCGGTTTATATGTAAAACGCACCTCTAGGGTGCGGTGCATAAAAAAGGGTGCTAGTTTAGTAATTTTTTTTTAAAAGGTGCTATTTCTGGAAAAAAAACTCCCAAAACTACGCCTCCCGTTGCTCTACACCCCTCAAAGGCACTCCTATGCTTCTTTTTTTCTTTCATAATGTCCAAGCAACTGAATCCTTCCAATGTTCTCGCCTTTCGAGTTGTCAATAGCTTGTGAATATCAACAGGATTCTTCAATCTAGTGTGGTTTTCAAGTTTAGATTCCTCATTAACAATGCTCCAAGCCATTTCTCTTAGCAAGCCATGAACCTCAACCTTCTTGCCGAGTATGCCGAAGGTACCAATGAACAAGGACTTATCAATTAGATCCTCTATTACATGATATGAATTAGATGGAAAATATTTTATCAGAAGATGTTTATATGCATGAGTGAGAAAACAAGCAGTATCCAAGAACACTCTCTTCTCGATAATTCCAAGCTCATCGTAGCTTCGCTTAAGAACATCATGAATTTCCGGCTTTGGAATTTTCCCCAGTTCATACAAGAAACTCTCCCAATAACTTTTGCCCCTGCAAAACAAAGCACCTCCCAAAACTTTTATGGCTAGAGGGTTCCCATTACAATATGATATAGCTCTATCTGAAAGATGCATCCAGTCATCGGGGGGAAGATACTGTCTAAATGCATGCATACCAAAGAGCTAAAGAGATTCATGAGAACGCAGACAGTCAACATGGTATACATTAGCTCTTGCCTTTTCAAGCACTCTTCGATTTCTAGTTGTCACAACAATTCTGCTCCCCGGGGCAAAGATGTTGAAGGTATTCAAAAGATCTCCCAACAATAAGTGCTCTAACTGTGAAGAAATCTCCACATCATCAAAAACAAGAAACACCCTCATCCGAGAAAGACGGTTCCTTCTATAACTAACATCCAAATCATCGTAACTTATATTGTCCTCAGACAACAATACTGAATAGAGTTTGTACACCATTCCAAATATCCCATTTTGCTCTTCGCATGTTTCATGGATGTTTCGAACAAATTGATGCTTGATTCCTTTTGTCGAGGATATAAACCTTTGGTAGCAAGTTTTGGCTATAGTGGTCTTTCCAACGCCACCCATGCCCCAAAGTCCAATAATGCGAAAATCATTTAAGTTCATATCTAATAGTTGCTCAACCTCGGTAACACGAACATCCATGCCATTCAAGTTATCGGAATTCACTCGCTGTGACAAGTCTAGGAGTCTTTTCATGGCATCCTTAACTATTGCATCAACTAATTCAGAATCAATTCTGACAAACAAACGGGGGAAAACTACAATGAGAAAATGCAAAATCGAATTTGAGAGAAGCATTCATTACTTGTAAAGAGGCTCTTAGGAGTAGGAACACTTACATGATCACTTGTGAAGTATGGCCAACACAATTAGCCACAGCTTTCAAAGCATCCTTCCATCTCTTCATATCCTTTGGAGATTTGCTACCACCATGTTTCTGCTCAATGGCAGCAGCATAGCTTCCAGAATCCTCTAATACGTCGGATGGATCTACTTTGTAGAAAACTGGAAGCACCTTATGCCCAAATTTCTGCATCCTTCGCGCTAAGGTGGCTACCTCTTCCAAGCACCAGGTAGAATCTGCAAAATTTGCTGAGAATATCACAATCGAGAGTGTGGATCTTTGGAGGACAGAGATTAGCCCGTCGATGCTCTTGGTTTTTTCGAGCTCGTCGTTCATGAAGGTTTTGATTTGGTTGTCGGAGAGAGCAGCTCTGAGGTGGCTGGTAAAACCATGGCCGGTGTCAGCGCCTCTAAAACACAAGAATACGTCGTATTCCCATTCTGCGGAGTAGGACGAGGAATCATGGTAATGAGATGGGGAAGGAGAAGCAGCCATTGATCTACTGGACGATATATTATTCTCTCAATTTTCAGCTTGAAGGATTCTTTAATGGTTTCTTAGCAAGAAGGAAGTGATAATAGCTGGGGGAAGAAGTCAAGGACTTAATTGCTTCACACTGGTTTCCACTGTTTAAGTGGTCTCAGTTCCCATGTGTCATATGAAAGAGATGAGAAGTTTCCGTCCAGACAAACACCTCTGTGGAAAATAATGTACAAAGCAGAAATAAAGTCTTCTTGGTCCACCGTCATAAAGATGTTGCCAAATTCAGTACTGTTCTCTCCCTCTTCACCTGTTTGGTAGTGTTCTTGACAACAGTTCCTGTACCAAAAAGACAAAGATTGTACACCATTTCAAGTAGAGGAATGAAATGGAACAGGTATAAATAGTGGGAAAATGTTAGAAATTCAAATTATATATATATATATATATATATATTGACAAATTCAGATTCAGCTCTATATACACACAGCAAATACCAAATGTGGAAAAGGATCAGAGGAAACAGACCGTTATGTGACAACAACAAATCACACTACTAGCATTGTTTGAGTCCAACTGAGGGTAGGAGGTAGACTCGTGAGAAAGGAGGGTGAGAAGAGAAAACGATAGAAAGGTTTTCGACACAGGAGCTTTTAGAGAGAGAAAGTTCTTTGTCTTAGAGTGAGATAGTGAAAAATGCGATCCCCTCACCCACCGTAGTAAATGCCATATATATAGGCTACAAGGTGGTGGGTGAGTTTACAGAGGTGACATGACAACTGACATGTCAGACTTTGGGTCATAGGCCACACCTCTAGGCCCTAGGCCATACTTCTACCTAGGACTATGATTGGGCCATGACATGACTGCTTCCTGACTTATGCGACGCTTGTGATTTGCCTCGGCTTAGTCAACGCATAACCGGGACGTCGTCGTTTGGCGCTCGATGCTTTCGACCGCGCGCGAGAGTTTTGGGCGCGCTTGAGGTCGTCAGTCTCGCGCTGGTCCCGGCCCTTTCTTCGCGCGATTAGACCCGAGTCCTATGCCCAACAATTGCCCCCCATCAGGGGGTATTCTGCGAATGCCGCCTGTTTGGCTCTCTGGAAGTTGACTCGGGTCTGGGCGGCTTCGGCGGAGCTTTCTCAAATGGTTGAACGTGACGTCCGGGGTTACGGTTGCCCCCCAGGTGCGCCTTGTGATCTTGCGCGTGCGCGATTTCCGAGGATTTCTTGGTAGGAAACGCGCGCAACTCTCGGGATTGGAACTCTCGATGCGTCAATGCGTGTCGCCAGATCATCCTTGGCGTGATGCGCGGATGGTTACGCCACTCTCAGTTTTGAGATTTGATTTCCGGGATTGGAGCTCACGATGCGCGCGTGCGTGATCTCCACGAGATCTTCCTTGGCGGGATGCGCGGATAGTTGTGCGCCACTCTCGGTTTTGAGATTTGATTTCCTCAGGCTTTTTGCCTTTCTTCGCGGGTGTGTCATGCCCCCCAGGCGTTGTGCGGAACTTGTTTCGTCAGCGGCTCTCTAGGTGTCTACGTGTCTTCTTCTGATTTGTCTATTTGGGTGGGCTTTTTTTGAAATTCGAAACGTCTGACGGTTGCGGTTTTCAAGGCTACTTTAACCTTTCGACTTACCTCCAACAACTATAAGTAATAGCTTTTGTTGGAGGTGGGACTCATTCTGTTTCCTCCGAGCTTTGCCTCCTCTCTTTCGTTCCAGTTAATTCTCGAGATTTCTCTCCTTCTTCTACAACCTTGTTTCTTCCGTCGCTGTTATTTACATTTCGAAGCATCATTATGGACAACATCAACACCAACATCGACGAGATCGAGGTCGAGGTCGTACAAGACGAAGAAGGTAATCTTTCCCCTCTTTCACATGCTTCTTCTGATCGGTCGCTGGGATTGGCCCATTCCGGCGGCGGAGACGGCGGTGGGGCCAATTCCGGCGGAGATTACGATGGTGGGGCTGATAGCGGCGAGGAGGACGACGACACTGCTGGTTCGGATCCTGATTTTGAAGTAAGAGATCCCGAGGAGGACGACGTCGTGTCCGGAAGCGAACAACCGAGCACGCGGTCACGGGGCGTGCTGATAATCCACCGCGATCGTGGCGGTGGATCTGGGGTTGTGGATGGTGCCGGGGCTGCGGATGCTAGCACGCGTGAGGGGTCTGAAACTCAGTCGGAGCCCCTCGTTGTGGAGCCCATTGCGGTGACGCGCATAACCGAGGCGATGAGCCGCCTTGGCCCTCGGTGTTTAAGCGCGGTCTACACCATCCTTGATTGGGCGGAGATGTGGGGCGACCAGCCGGCTCCGCACGACAACCTGCTGCGCGGACCTGATCACGCCTACATCTACTCGCGCGACGACGTGGAGGAGATTGTGCGCGGGCTGGGTTTGCCCCCCCCCCCCCCCCACTGACAATACGCGGTGCCGTCCACGCGCAGTATGGTGGGTAACTGCCCCCCTGGGTGGTTTGGGGTGTACACCGAGTACTGGGTGATGGGCTTTAAGTTTCCCATCGACCCTTTGTTGTGCGCCTTATACAGGCGGCTCAATTGCTCGATTGGACGCCTCTCTCCATCTGTCATCATGCACGCCTCCTGCCTCCGCCTCGCGTGTAAGAGGCTTAACATCCAGCCTACTTACGGGCTGTTCCGCAAGATGTATAAAATCAAGGAGCCCACGAGGAAGAGCGACTGCCTGTCCATAAAGCGGCGCGACAAGAGGCCAGATGGGTTCGTGTATGGGTCTCCTAAGTTGAAGAAGACGTGGTTTGAGCGCTTCTTTTATGTTAAGCCGGTGCCGGGGGAGTGGGCGAGTGAGCAAGTGGATGAGCCCACCGTGTGGAAGAAGGGTGGCACGCTCGGATACGAATCAGATCTGGGCGAGTATGACGGGCTTGATAAAGAGTATGACGCATGCATGCCCCACAGGATGAATCTGTATTTGGGCGGTGTGCGCGAGGCCTGTTTGGAGGAGCTCTTTGCCGATGGTTAGTTATGTTTCTTTCACTTTGTATTCAGTCATATTTAACCGCCTTCTTACGACATCTTGGTGCAGGCGTTGACTTCTCGAACCTTATGAGTATGATGTCGGTGGACGACGTCGTGAAGGTTCCTCAGCCGTCGCGCAAGGAGAAGAAGAGGAAGAGGGAGGGTGCGCAGAGTAGCAACGCGCCAAACCCCAGCGACCGGAGGAAGGAGCGAGTACAGCCCGGCGACGCGACCGCGAGCGGCGCGAAGAGGAAGGAGGTGGAGAGATCAGCGGCTGCCAAAAACCCGAGGAAGGTAGCGCGGGTACCCGAGCAGCAGGAGCGACAACACCCACTGGCGATTGTCGAACCAGAGGCGCGAGTGGGAAATTCCCCTCGGCGTGAAAGTGTGGCGGCTGGCAGCTCGTCTGGAGCTGCTATGTCAAAGAAGCTTCTGGAGGTGGCCGGGCTTAGCGGGGCTCCCGGCATTAACTATTACCGCGATGTGAAACTTCACACCGGGGCGGCGTGCAACAGCCAAACCGCGCAAGCTGCTCTGCGGGCGGTGGGCCCCGTGCTTAACGTTCCGCCAAGGCTGGAGAAGTCGTACCCGCTTGTGGATCTGGCTCAAATCCACTGGGCGGTAAGAGTCACTTTATTCGTCATGTGTGTTTCCTTTGTTTTGCGGAGAATTTCATTAAGTTTCGTAGCGTTGTCAATTCAGGGCTTGCTAGCGACCTTCCGGGCTCAGCAGGAGCGTGCCTCCACCCGCGCAAAACTGAAGGCGGAGGAGTCCAAGGTCATTCAACTGGAAGGCAAGCTCACAGGCGCGGAGGGCCGCGCGGAAGTGGCTACCAACAAAGCCAACGAAGCTCTGACGCAGCTGGGTGTGTGGCAGAGCAGGTTGGAGATCGCGGTGGAGGAGGCGAAGGAGCGTGTCTGAACAGAAGAACGTGACTCGATTATGGAGCAGTTGCGCGCTCAGTTCGCGGAGGAGAAGAAGAAGTTGGAGGAGGATCACGCGGAAAAGTTGAGGCAGGCCCGCGATGACTTCCAAAAGGAGAAGGATGATTTGGTTCGACTCCATGATGTGGCTAAGGCTGAGGCCGTTCGCGCAACCCAAGCCGTGGCGGTCCGTAATTACAAATCGTCCCCTCCCTTTGGGAAGATTTTGGCGGATGCCATGACAAAAGCCATGATCGCGGTGGGCAAGAAGGTGCGCCCGGAGAACCCTGGAGTCAACTGGGATACGCGCTCGATGGTTGAGCACGTTAAGATGTGGATCGGCCAGAAGAAATCTTTGTCTGAGTCGGAGCCTGAAGATGGTGAGGAGGAAAGCGCGGATGAGGAAGAAGGTGCTGGAGGTAATGGGGGTGATGGTCAGGGAGATGATGATGACAAGGAAGACGACGCTCAGCATTTGCTGCGCCGCAAGAAGATTGGGAAGGATGTTCAGAGTGACACTGATGGTGCTTAGGTGGACTAGGTGTTATCGCGCTGGCGTGCTTCCTTCCTTTTCGAGCTTGTTGTTTTGTTGCGTTTCTTATTTTCTTCTCTCCCCCCCCCCCCTTTTTATATCAAATGTAGTGGTGAACAATGTTGATGCTCCCATTTCATCATATCCAAAGAATTTTCCTTTTGGGGCTCTTGTTTGTTAATGTGCTCGTTTGTTCCTTCAAACCGAATGGGTGCGAGTAGTGCGTGGCTATTGTTATACACGTTCTTGCGAACTGAATGGGCGCGAATAGTGCGGAACTATTGCTAATTCTGTTCTTGCGAACTGAGTGGGCGCGAATAGTGCAGGACTATTGCTAGTTTTTTTTGTTCTTGCGAACTGAGTGGGCGCGAATAGTGCGGGACTATTGCTAAATTTGTTTTTGCGAACTGAATGGGCGCGAATAGTGCATGACTATTGCTTTTTTTTTTTTGCGAACTGAGTGGGCGCGAATAGTGCGGGACTATTGCTAGATTTGTTCTTGCGAACTGAGTGGGCGCGAATAGTGCAGGACTATTGCTAGTTTTTGTTCTTTC